TTTAGACTCACACTGTAGAACCACACTGCTGCTGTTTAATTTCGTCCCTGCAATAACAGGTGAGGAGACAGAACCTGGTGATGGAAGAGAGGAGAAATTGATTAATGAGACAACACGTGACAATGCTAATAGAGAATCCACGTGAATCTGCTTAATATTGACCCACAGACCTTAGACCTGCAGCAATACAACGGGACTCTCTACCCGACTTCATTAGGCTGCAAATAATTTAGCAGTATAACATCCAATACTTGTATTCCCCTTAATGTTGATTAAATATGTATCTAATAACAGTTATTCTGTCACCTGTGGAAGCAGCTAGAAATGTATTTTAATCGGTGCTAAACCTCACCTGGAAGACAACATGAAGCCTCTTGTAAAAAAAAAAAAAAAAAATGTAACTTTTTTATTTTCACCTCTTTTTGCAGATGAAAGTCTTCAGAAAGTTTTTTCCCTAAATCAGACTGGATGACCAGATTTTTTTTCCCGCACTGGTCTCACTGGTTACAGCTTCCGTACAAACCATGTCAGATGTGAAAATGGTTACGTGTCATTATGGAGGGCAGTCACAATGTATTCTGTATGTTTAGTTGGAGAACTTGTTGGGCAATGGTTCTCCTGAAGTAGACTCAGACACATTTCATTGATTATAAAAATGTGTGACCGAGGCTGGGACAGCCTAAAGAAGAACAGTATTTCATTTCTTTTTAAATGTAGAGAGAGAACATGGCTTCACTGCTTCACTGAACTTGATCACCAAATTCTTGGCTACACCCGCACATATAACCACAACTCGTCTGCCACCAGTATGCTGGCACAGTTGTGATTTTATTCAGGTTTTTCCTTTTATGCAACAGATGAGTTTATGTAGCACAAATTCCCCAAAGAGTTTCCAGGATGTCGGTGTTTGTTCTGAATGTGACAACTAATAGCAGTGTAAAAATGACAAAAAGCCTAATTCTATAACAATTCTAAAGTAAAGTTATGTAGGAACGATGCAACAAATGAAATAAAAATCATATGCCCACTCACCAACAACGAGCTCAACAGTAGATGTTTTATCCTGTGAGGGAAAGTAGCATCTGTAAATTCCATTATCGGAGAGTTTCACTGCAGAGAGTCTCAGTGAAAGGTCTCCATGCCTCAGGTTCTCGATGGACA